ACAGCTTAGGAAATATCTCCAGATTTATATATTTCTCTAATGAATTTTGGATTGACATCGTTTCAGGGTTTCCACACTGCCTGCAAAAGTCTCAGACATGATTAAAGTATTTCTAAGGTTTCAATAAATACTGAATTAATATTTGGCTTCATTCTCTGTTGGCTCTATTAAATGCTGTATTACTTTCTGCTTCCCATCACTCGTTCTTTATCTCTCCCTTTCTCCCTTCCTTTTTCTGTTCCTTTCTCACTTCATTTTTTTCCCATCACGCTGTGCTTTTTCTTTTGTACTCTTTCCTTCTTTCCCTCCTTCTTTCATTCTATCTTTTTTATACTTCCTACCCCATTCTGCCTTTCATTGTTAGATTCATTCCTTTTTTTCACTGTTTTTCTTTAGTTTGTCCTTCTTTCCTGTGTTTTCCTTCTATTTTTACTGACACATTCAGATTTCCTTACTTCTTTCCTCCCTTCCCCGTTTCCGCCTTATTTACAAATTCTGTTTTCTGTTTCTCCTCTTTCTTTCCTTCTTAACTTTATTCCTTCCATCAAGCTCTTTTATTTTATCTTCCAAACTTCAATCTATCCCCTTCCATTTTTTTTTATCTTCTATTTTTGCTAATGCCCAAAGAAAGTAAGAAGTGGGTTTGTTGATCAGTGTGGAAAGTGTAATTTGGTTGTTTAATGTCTGTGAGCCCCTGTCGTTATTCTGCTGTGTTATCATACCTTGTCAGCTATGTTAACGTTGCAGCCTGCCACTATTAAAGAATGGATTACAGGGATGTGACTGTTCTTCACTGCCAGGTGGAGTGGCGCCTCCAGCTGCTGTGAGGAAACATTAATTTATTTTCTCAGAAAGAAAAGAGAAATGATCCAGATGCAGAGGTTAGATGCAGCATCTCTACGAGATTATGGAAATGTACTTTTCCCAGCTGGCTTGTGTTTCCTCACCTGGTTTTGAACATCTGTATGGGCGTTGAACTCTAAGAGGAGTTGGACCAAAGACAAGTCTCCTTTTTCTGAGACCGGGTGGAGAGCACTGCATTTGGCCTATGGAAAACAGGAGTTAAGCTCCAGAACCTAAATTGCATGTAGGATTTTTCAATGACCACCCAAATCACTAAGCATTCACATATTTGAAAGGGGATTATTTAAACGACTGACAGTGATATAAATATAATTTTTTAAAGCTTAAATCTGGTTATACCACTGTGAGGATGTTGGGGTCACAGCCAGCCTCAAGCAGGGCCAGGATGCAATCTTCCTGACCGGTATCTGCAGCCTGGTACAGAGCCGTCTCACCATCCTTCAACACAGGAGTTTAGAATAAAACAACTATTTATGTGAGCAGAAACAAAACAAAGTTAACATAATTAAACTGAAATAGCTTGAAGAGTCTATAATGCTATTATGAATGTAGAAATCACAGTACAGCCTTTAGAAGTTAGGGTTTCCATTTATGCTGGATCATAGTATATGTGGTTGCATTAACAGAAACATGTCTGATAGTTCTTAATTAATCCTAAATAGAGCCACCATGCAGCAGTGGATTATCCATTCAAACAAAGAAAGAGAGGAGGATTTCCTACAACATTGACTTCATCCCGAGTATCAAAGCTCTGCAGCAACAGTTGGATGGCGTCCAAGTGGCCGTTCCTGGCAGCTAAGTGCAGGGGCGTGTCCCCTCTCTGCCAGAATGGAGGGAGGGAATAATTTGCATCAAAGAGGGGTTGACTTTGAGCTTCCTGGTAGGTATGATGCAAACAATATGCATGCAGGGACTCAGACATAAATGCCCTTATTTAAACAAGGAACAAGATGCATCATTATCCTACAGAAAACAGACACACCAACCTTATTGGGCTTCATTGTGGCCATGCTGTATGGCTCCATCAGTATTTTTAGCATTTCTAGGCTTCCATGTTCTGCTGCCAGTGCAAATGGATGATTTCCTGACTGGAATACAGACAGAGAATGCAGGTGCAGGCAGGAACACATTGTGGATGTAAAAAGAAAATTACAAATCGGTTTAAAATGCCAGGATTTTGTGACAAAATATGAGAACCAAAGTCACACAACATTTTTGAAATGTTTTCACAATAAAAGTTTTACAGTTTGTATAATGCAGCTGGTACAAAACGATCTAAATATAAAAGTTGCAAAGACCTGGCTGCATACATGTTCCCAGCCCTAAGTCCAGTCTTTGTCATCTTGTCCTCAGTGTCAGCCTGTTGTGCTCTTTGACCGGAGGTATTGATTTAATTAAAAACACTGTATCATCTCAAGACAATCAACCTATAATCATGAGGCTTCTACCCCCATGTTGCATTGTTGTTGTTGTTGCTGTTTTAAAGCTGTGTTCATAAAGTTGCTTCCACCATATGCTTCCCTTTGATGTTCTGAGAAATTTCCAGCTTGATCTGGGTGGTTTCTTTAAAGGACACGGCTTGTTGCAGTTTTCCAACTCACCTTAAAATAGTTTTGCAGTTTTATCAGAATTGCAAACGGATGGCAGATTTAAATTTATGAAGTTTTAACTTTAACTAAATAAAAAAGGGTCTTTAACAGAGTGTTATTTTAATCGTGTGCACACTTATGCATCATGTTCTTGCACCTTTTTACTTTCACATGCAGATCTAACCTTACCTTAAAATGTACAAAATATCATATCAAAAAGACTTTTTAGAGAGAAATTTCTTCAAAATACTATAATTTTAACAGAAATGTGAACATGAAAGATCCACTGTACAAATGTGATGCCCTTTATTAAAAAAAAGTAGGACATTTTATTTATCAAAAGCAAATACCTGATCATCCTTGTCTAATTCTTTCATTTGCATATCGTTGATAATATACTCCACAATATCAGTGTGGTTGTTGATGGCAGCACAGTGCATGATGTTCAGTCCTTCCTGGGAATTAATTTAAAAAAAGCATTTTACACACATGAAGCACATATATTTGCTTTTTATTGCCTTCTGTTGGTTAGATAACCTTCTTATAAATGTTTACCTCATTTTCAACTTTCTGTTCAGCTCCAGCCTGGACCAATAGCTTCAGCATCTCCAAACTGCCGAACCAGGCAGCTAGATGAATGGCGGCCATACCAAACTGCCATTACAAGAACACAGTAATATACTTAAATATGTAACCTAGCTTGCTTTTCTGGTTTGTTGATGTTTTTCTTCATCTGTCTCACTTTGTCCTTTTGATCCACTTTGACCCTGCGCTGCAGAAGGAACTGTGTTGCATCCTTGTTTTTGCCAGCTACTGCGTAGTGAAGGGCTGTCCTGTTGTGCTGTTTTTGTAGATCACATTACTGCGGCTTCTTTACAGAAAGTTTCTGCTAAACTATATTGCTTTTTATACTTTTCTTGCAGGATGACATTCTACGTTATGTTTTCTACTCACCACATTCTTTGCGTTAACATTCACACTTTTTGCAAGATACTTCATGGTCTTCACATCGTCCCTCTTTGCTGCCTCCATGAACTGCTTCTCGATGTCAAGCACTGCTCCACATTTAGGGGGGCGGGGGGTCCACACACACACAACCAGTTTAGTTTACACCAAAACACTATAATGTGGATTAATTCAATATGTTTATCATGGAAATTCAGAAATTCATTCTTTCTTGTTAAGGATCTACTGATTTTATCCATCATAAACATTTGTTTTGGCAGTTTACTCATCTAGAATTTGATCACCCAGAACTGTAAAGTGTGTAGTAACACAATCCTAAGTAGAAACTACATTGACATCCAATGATAATTGGATAGACATTAAGGAATAATAAAAAAAAAAAAAAAAAAACATGGACAGACTGAAGTTGACCAGAGAGAATAAAAAAAAAAATTGGACTACAGGAAAAATCTTGTTTGATTTCCAACTGGGGATTTTCTGCCACTGAAGGAGAAGAGGCCTTGAAAGACACCTTGCCTTAAACCGTCTCCCTTGCAGATTCTGCCTGATGATTATCTTACTGCAGCTTGCATCGGGGACAAGCTTAACTTCGGCTGTGGATGCTCCAATATCTTGACGGACAGCCAGATGATTTTTCAGAGTCAGATCAATTGTTTTGGGTCTATCACTTGACCTTTTGCTCCACAATCTTTAGGAATTTTGAAGAAATTTAAAATGACTGTCTTACTTCCACAGATCCACATTTTGGCAAAAATTAAGACTTTTAAATTCTATTTAGTTTAACCTTTGATGAGCTAATGAACAGCCGATTTCAGTATAATGATTGATTGCAGAAAACTACTTTAAGTTGTTTTTTTTTTTTTTGTTGTTGTTTTTGTCTCACTCCCATTTAATCTTTTTGCTTTTTGTAGTTTTACTTAAAACTGTCTTAAGAGGTCTTACATTTTTGGTCAAGAGTGTAAAGCTAATGAACATCATGCCTTCTGTGAAGTATAGAAGCGAAGGGGTCATGGTTTGCGAATGCTTCTCTTCTGCACCATATGATCATATTAACAGCACAGTATTCACCAAAACTAAATCGAAAAACATTACAATTCCCATAAAGCTATGCTCTCAATCTCAAGCCTTGAGGCCTGGGTTCCTGTAACTTTGGTGTGTATCCCCTGCCTGACACACCTGAATAAAATGGCCAAATTTTCTCGCTAGAATGCAGACGTTTTCTATAGAGCACTACTCATGAGCTAATATTTGAGTCTGGTGGTGAGCCACATCTACTTGGTGAAGAAATAATGTTTGACACCACTTGCCTTAATATAGTATACTAGTAAATCCATCCAGAGGGGATATGGCTAGACTTTATAGGGTAGAATGTCTAAACCCTTCCCCTTGTCATGATTCTGCAGTTTTTGGTTCTGTTTAAGTTTTCTTTTTTCTTTTCAGTTACACTTTAATTTATGACATTCTGTTTTCTAGGTAATTTAATTTCAGTTCATTCTAATTGTTTTGTGTTTGCATTTGAGTTCTTATGCATTTCTTGTTTACTCTCTGTTGCCCCCTTGTATCAGCCTCCTTTCCCCCAGCTCCCTTCTAGCTCCTTCTGTTTACACCTGCTCCCAATCAGTTCTTACTCCATCCATTGTTCTTTTTGGCATTTATACTCCTCCTCTGCAGTTACTGTTGGCTGGATTCTTTTCATTCCTTCATCCCCTCCTAAACCCATATGTTCCCATATGAGTTATTTACGGATTTATGGTTCTGTTGCCACTACTCCTTCTTAAATCTGCAAGAAACCACCTCAGCTTCTGCCTCTGCATTTGGGTCCTCTACAAACCTCTGCCCAACCTAACACCCTTTAGAATATACAGTGTGTTAATATCTCTTGTTTTATTAGTAAAGCAAATTTCTTTTTTCCAAATGTGTGTAATAGTTATATAAGAACAACACAAAAAGCAACTATTTAGGTTGATAAAAGCCATTAGCAACATCTAAACTGAATACATCTAAACTAAATACAATTTTATAATAAATAAATAAATACATTTTTATTTTTGTATAATTGGTGTCCTTGCATGGGGCCAGTTAAATAATACAATACTTATAAAATTCTTTAAAATTCTTGCCGCTATGTATAAACCACAATACTTCTCTATGGTCTCCATACACACCATATCAACACCCTATACAATCATGAAGCTTTGGTAGACAAGTTATGATCTGAGCTTTTTTATAGTTGTTTGATAGAAATGTTTGATAATGCATTAATTAATCTAAGGTGCTGAATGTCAGACTAAAATGTCAAAGAACTGTGCAGGAATCAAAATGGGACTTTTAGCAACATTAAAGGAAAAAAAAGAAGAGCTGGCTGATATGAATAAAAGGTAAAACTGATACAGTCTCACAAAGTATGTTGCTGTTCATTTTAAAATTTTATAGAATAGCTTTTGGTTCTTTGTTAGGTTTGAATATGTTTTGGGGTTGCACTAATCAACCAATAAAATCTCCTTTTTCACACCTCTTCCAAGGAGCTGTGCAAAAAGATTTAATTTCCAGCCCGAAAAAAAACAAAACAAACAGCAATCTGACAAAACTGAGAAATTAGGTTAATATTTACAAAAGACATAAAAAGTGTCAATTTATATGAGCTTTGCTGTTGTGGATAAAAAATTATCAATGTTCTACCAAAGATCTACAAGAAAAAAAAGAAAGAAGAAAAACACTGCAGAAAAAAGAACAAAACCAAAATCTGCATTATATTGTACAACTGTATTTACATATGGCGAAATAAAAACTCTAATCAAAATTATTCTTGAACTTAAAATAAAAGCAAATGTAATAGCTGACTAAGCCTAATGGTAATCTATGTGATATTTCATAAAAATGTTAAATCAGAATTGGGGCTATTTCTTATAGAATCATAGGAAAACCACCACAGCAGATTCATACCACATTATAATGCTACAGAAGTTTAAAGAACATTATCATATGAATACAACATGAATATTACTTTTTAAATAATGTTTAAAGTTTTTAATATTATACCACAGTAAAATGCTCTAGATGTCATAACTATTGTTCAAACCTAAAAAACATATTACTACAGTAAACTTGTCACACTAGTTTGTGATATCTTCCTTTAAACTGATGCATCTCCATGCCTCCTTCAAGAACAAACAATGTTCTGCAGGGACATTATAATGTAAATATATCTGACTACTGAAATGAGCAGAAGCAATGAAGTTCTTTTAGAACATTTAAAATGATCTGAACTCTAATTCTAAGACTCCGTATGTGGTAGAGGGTTTCTTTTTATCCTAGTAAGAATATTTTTATTTTAAAGATTTTTTAAAAATGAGTAAATAAAAACTAATTTACTATGCAGCATACAGAACTGGGGCAAATAAAAAAAAGCTGCTAATAGAGTTTTAAAACAAGTTTTGAACAAAAAACGTTATTTTCCTTTTTTATGATGTTGCAAACTCACACATTTCGTTGGTGTCAAAGCTTCCGTCAGTCTCTCTGTCTGCGTGCTTGCTGAGCCCCATGAGAGTCTCCTGTCGCATCCACTTTGGAAGGTCCAGATTTTCCTTTTTGGGACAATGATCTTTGATCTTGTTCCTCAGAGCCAAAACTCTTCTCTCCATGTCAACCTCATATAAATTAGCTATTTGTAAGGAGTCAGGTTAGAATGTTTTACCCCAGTTTCACACACTACTTAAGTGGAAGGAGAGAAACAGCAGAAGGTTAAAAGGAAGTCTAAGTCTTCTGTTTTCTGAAGGTTGATCCATGTTTGCTTTCCTGGGTCACGCCCACAAAGTCAGCTCATAATATTTACCATTACTAGCATCAGCTGTATTCAACTCGAGGGTGGCAGAACTATTTACCTCTTCTGAATAACATAATGTAATTGATTGACTTTATTGATCTCACAGTGAAGAATTTAGTTTTTACATCGGCTCAATAGTCAAAAAGAAGAAGGTGCCAAAAGGAGGAACCGGTGCATGGGTTTTATACAGTAGGTTATATACAGTGAGTCCATATACACACACACACACACACACACATATATATATATATATACACATACATATATATAAGACCACAGCATTTTGTGGACTTATAACGGTTCCGTTACTTACAGACTGTAAAGAAACGAGAAGTTTTTCACACCTACAGTTGACATCTATTACACCATGACTGTTATGAATAAAACAATTAGGAGTTTCCCTTTTTAACTGCACTGCAAAAATAAATGAAGTGTTAAATGGGAACTGAGTGAGCAGTGATTTCAACAAGATTTTAGGTTTAATATTTATTGCTTGTTGACAGAAACATGTTGTAACACAAAAGATGAATAAAACAGGCAAAGATTAAAATAACATAAATAAAATAGTTAGCAGATATCCTCATCTTTAATTGACTATATTTATACATTAGTTTCATTTGGATTTCAAATGAGTGTGCAAAGGAAGAAAATCCAGAGATTAAAATGGACAGCATATACTTCATGAAATAAATACTATTGTATTATGTTGTATTTCACTCCTTTTTTGCTGTTTTGCTAAATATAAAATCTATTTTCAAAGACGACCATGTGGCTGTTTATACCAATGTTCAATACACAACCCATTATGTTGCCAAAAAACTATATATATATATAAATAATCTGGTATCTGCAAACTTTAAAAGTCACCTCCAAATTTACTTATTGCTTAAAAGGAATTAATCAGTGCAAGTGCTTGGCTTCTGGTAGCAGCAGAAAGCTAAGAATGTGTCCTTATGTGCGGGGCTGCCAGGTCCTGGCAGGACTAAAGCTAGCCAGCATAAAACCTTCAGAGTGGCTCTTATTGTTGCAGGAAATATCTTCAATTCAACCCGGCTTCCTGACATTTCCCACGTCGTTACATTCACCTGAAGAACTTGTCGATGGTGTTGCAGGATCCTAAGCTTTTGGCTTTTTTAGATGGAGGAGAAGAAGGTGTGTCTCGTCTACAACAAGAAAGGAAGACAGGGAAAATGGCAGTTATTCAAGGATATTATCATTGGTTTCACTCAAGAGAGCTACAGTGGGATAGTTTGGATTACTGGGGCAGGCGCCTCCAGTTCTTAAAAACCAGTGTTTTCTATATGATCCATATTTCACCTAAACAAGAACAAGTGATTAAATCCTTTATTCTAACCCTTAATTCTAATGGTCAAGTCAAAGTCAAGCATAAACTCAGCTAAGGATCTATGGCAAGACTTAAAAATCTCATGAAAAATTTCAGGTTAACTTGCATTGATTTAACGCGCACACTAATAAAATAACCATGCTTAAAGGTATAGAGGAAGATCTTTTATTTCCGGGTGGATTATCAAAATAAGTGGTCCTCCTAATTGTCAATCATTCTGGTTATATGTTTACGTACGGCTGTCCTACGTTATTGTCCGTAGCTACTAGCTATCTTTTTTTTTTTGCGGATGCTCACTTTTGGGATGGGCAAATTTTTTTTTTAAAGTCTTTTCATAAATTCCTGAAATTCCTTCTCTATACATTTAATGTGTTTATAGTATTACAAAATCCCTAACAGTTCATTGGTCTGAATTGTTTTGCAAAGAGAAAACATTTGGGAACAGCATATGGAAAGCCATTAAATCGCCTCACCGTTTGCTCTTTCCTTTACTGGCTTGCCTTGGCAGGGGATGCCCGACGTCTGCAAGCAGAGACATGCAACCTGTTAGATGGAGGAGAAAAAGGAGCTCCTCTGGTCTCTCAGTGGAAACAGACACCCATTGAGGAGCTACATAGATGCAACATCTCTTGAGAAACATAAAGAGCTCGTTTCTAGAAGCTTGTTTCAGAGAAAAAACAGGCCTTAGTTCATTGTTGGGGATAGATAGGACGGATAGATTGAATGCCATTTCCAAGAGGGGGGGGGGGTTGGTGGCAGGGGTGAAATGAGATGTCCTTTCTCTGTCGGGATCAATAAGACCTTCTCATACAGTTCCACTGTCAGTAAGGGTCACAGGCCACTGAGAGCCCTTTGAAATAAAACAATGCTTCTGTTCCCTCCAAAGAAAGGATGTGCTCACAGGTTATGGATACTTTTAACAGCACGGTGTCTTCCATTACACTTAAGATCTATGAGGAAGCTAATAGTATACCTGGAGCCCCATTGTTAACATAAACTAGTAGGCAGTAGTTGATTCTTGCTGTGCAGAAGCAGCAGAACAAAATGAACCTTTCAGAAGACAAAGGGAAGCATATGTCTCTCTGCTGGACAGTTTGATCTGGTGTCTACAGTTATATAAAAAATTATATGATACACTTTATCATGCATCTTGATCTGGGAACACCTTATTGTACTTGGTTCATTGGAATAGATATACATACATTTGTTCTAAGATAGTAATTTATGAGAGAGAGAGAGACAGAGAGGAAGGAAGGAAGGAAGGAAGGAAGGAAGGAAGGAAGGAAGGAAGGAAGGAAGGAAGG